GCTATGAGCTGTGCTTAACTCAAAGGCAATCCACAATGACAATAATAGCTTGTGGTACTATGACCAAAAGTGGAAGAATTTATTACATTATTATCATGCACATCTTGTCACTAATTATTTATTATGGATGTAAGTATTGGTAAACCAGACTACATAAAAATTAATTTTGTGTTAAAGACTTAAAAGTCTCCACTCTATTTTTTTTTTTTTGGAGTTCATTTATTTCAGTGAGAAAAATCATGGCATACACGAAAATGTCAGATATAATAGATGATGAGTAATGATAAAATCCATTAGTGTGAACGTCCCTATTTCAAAAATCGATTAGTGATGCAGGTAAATGGGAAGCTATAGGCTTAAGCCGAATTTCTAGTCCTCAACTGCTGCCCTTCATGGGTAATAATTTATTAACTGTAAGAAGCCACATTTAATCCATTTGGAAGGATTGAACCATGATGAAAGATGTCAGGTGTAATGTCCCATCATTTAGGTTCAAATTCGGGGTTTTAACCTTCATATTTTATCTGTCAGTGGGAGGCTGTAACTGAAGGCTAAATTCTAAAAGAATCAAAAAGCACTGAAGAGTTGAGGAGAATAAAACAACCTCTGGTGGCCTAGTGGCAAGAAGCAGTGCTGCAATCCCAGAGGCACGCGGTTTGAGACCACCAGCCGCTCCGCGCGGTAAGAAGGATGGGAAGTCTCCTCCTGTGCGATTAACTGTTTCTGAAAACCCACCTGAGGTGAGCTGCATGTAGGTTCTGACTTGATGTTACATAACAACATCAACAGTTTGCGTTTAGAGCCCTCTGTTAGTCATTCATAGCAGAGAACTTAATGATGAGTCCACCAGAAATAAATCAGGTCGCTTCTTGCCTTCCATAATAACTTCAATATTTCTTTACTTAAGTTTATGTATACATCCTTGTAATTGACCTCCAAAGGCTAACTGTGAATGAGAAAAGTGGAATGGCCTTTACATTCTTCTTTAGTCTATTCTTTTCTTTTAAAAATATGTTTAGAGTAAGGATGGATATTTTCCCTTTGTTCCAATTTCTGAATTCTTTAATGCAGACTGGAATCCAGTGTGATCCTCCAAAGCCATGTATACCCTTCAGCTACTTAACAACACCACCAACGGGTGGTCTGATCAGTTCCTACTCATGCTAACCTCATGTCCATTGGAGCAGAACTGTGTTCCGTAGGTTTTCAAGTGGCTGGATTATTTTTTTACTGGATCGCCAGCCCTTTCTTCTGACTTGTCTCTGAGTGGACTCAAACTTTTAATCTTACAGCTGACAGCCAGATGTTTAATCATTTACACCACCCAAAGACTCCTTTCAGGGACCACTGACACCTAAGCTAAGAAAGTCAGCCCACTCACGCAGTCATTGCCATCAAGTCAGAACCACCACATAGCTGGCCCTGCTGTGGATTTTGGAGGCTGTAAATGCCAGGAGCGGAGACTGCCCATTTCCCCATCAAGAAGCAGCTGGTGAGGAAGT